GTGTGTGTGTGTGTGTGTGTGTGCGCAATACCTCTGCCAGCTGAGCTTTGTTCAGGCCGGGCCGGGTCTGGATCTTGTAGTGCCGCTTGTAGCGTCTCAGTGTGTTGACCTGAAGCTGGAACAGATCCACCTGACACACACACACACACACACACACACACACACACACACACACACACACACACACACACACACACACACAAGTAAATCCACAATGGAATGAAGGAGAATTGGAGGATTTCTGAGAGTCCAGAGTCTAATCATCTGAAACACTCCAACAGCAGAGCCACACACACACACACACACACACACACACACACACACACACACACACACACACACACACACACACGTGCAGCAGCTGTACCTCGGGCACCTCCACCTCGTGGTCCGGGCTCTCTCCTCCATCATCGCTGGTCTTCCTCTTGCGTTTGTTCCTCACGCTCTGGATGAAGTTCTTGTGGAAGTCACAAATGTAAAGATGTCGGACCTGCAGAACACCCACACACACACACATTAACACACACTCAACAGCACTGATGGAGAGTGTGTGTGTGTGTGTGTGTGTTGGCAGAGCGAATACAGGCCTACCTTTACATTAAAACACACACCTGTAGATCCAGCCTCAAACACACACACACAGCAGACAAACACACACACACACACTTGTAACTCCAGCACTGCCACCTCTCTCTCTCTGTCTCTCTCTCACACACACACACACACACCTGCCTGTGCTCCTCCGCCCTCAGTAGTGCGCTCTATACAGTATAACTAAGCTGTATGATGGAGCTCAGACGTACTGCATCCGCCATGTTGTCATGGTCACATGACGTGAGTTGTGTCGCTTCACTCCCGTTTCATCATTATGCATTATGGATTAGCTGAAATGCTTTAGTGCATTATGGGATAGCGCAGCGTCCATTTGATGCGCACTTCAGAATCTCGCCGGCAGTCATCTGCCATGCGGCCAACTCTGAGATCCGACACACCTCTCGCCTCGCAGAGCACGGTTTCTGGAGGAGCTGATGAGCTCAGAGCTGCGCACCGCTCAATAAGTCCAGTGGACTCAGACACGGCGCTGAGCGAATCGACGCGGTTCTTCAGCCTTCCTAAAGCACAGAAGCGAAGCGAATTAGATGCACGAATGAAGCGAGTGAACTCAATGTTCACATGATTCACCCGCGCACGCCACGTCTGCTGAGAACACTGCATTAGAGAGGAGGGTGTCAAGGGTTAGGGTTGGGTGCGGCTGGACCGGAACACCAGCCTGCGCTCCACACGGAGGAATAACCCCGCCTTTACCAGTCAGAGGGGCGTGGCTATAAGTATTGTGTGTGAAGCATCGAACTGACGTCATCGGTCACCGTCCTCCAAACACGGAAGCAGATGCTCAGACTTTGATTAAAGATTACCAAAACATTTTATTCCGCGGATTAACTCGACGGAGGAACTGCTCAGCTGAAGAAGAACAGCGCAGATACACACTCGACACACGTCTGTCCCCGAGGCCCTTCCGTAGCCTCATCCCGACTGACCGGAGAACTGGAGACACCAGCGGAGCGGCCCACTTCAGGAGTTCAGACACACACACACACACACACACACACACACACACACACACACACACACACACACACACACACACACACAGACTCACGCTCTTGTCGATGTCCAGCTTGAGCTTCCTCTGGGAGATGCTCTTCTGGATCCTCTTGCTGAAGGACGCGTTCCCCGCCGGCCGCCCGCACCGCTCCGCGTCCTCTATCAGACAGCAGCTCTGCCCGAAGAACGGCGGCGCGGGCGGCCCGTCATGGCTGTCCTCCTCCGTGCTGAAGCCGTTCATCCCGGAGACCGGACACCGAGCGGAGGAGCACAGACCCGCGACACCCGGGCTGAAGAGCCGCTACTGACCCACCGAGCGCGAAAACACCGTTACCGAGCGGACACCACCGCCACAACACACATACAATGAACACGTCCTGCCAGACACCGGAAGTCGTATCCTCGAAAGCCCATTGGTTGATCTCGCGATAGGGCGGGTCTCTAAGGCTGCATCCGGTCTTCCGATTGGCTGCCGCGGCTGTCCGTCAAAACGGCTCTTCCTGCTCTCCCGCCGCTGCGTCACGAGCACGCGCTGAACTTCACAAAGTCAAACGCGAAGTCTGACGGTGGAAAACAGCCGATTCTGGATCAGATCACGGATAAACCTGATAAACCCGAGCACGGAGAGCTGATGTTCGGTCAACAGCTGCAGTTTACCGGCAGAGAACACGCAGCTCTCATGAAGGAAAACCCCAGAAGCGCTGCACACTAGTGAGCGCTCCCTCATCAGTGAACACTTCCCTATAGTCTGCATTCTACCCTGTAGACTAATGAGCACTCGGGGTCAGAAACATCCGAGTAATCAGCTTTATCAGGGCTCCGGCCGTGTTTCCCTCATCATCAGTGTCTGCCCTGATTAAACACCTCAGAGCTCTTACACCGAGTACACACACACACACAGGAGACTGATAAGGACACTAGTTTGGAGGAGAATCTCAGACAGCATTAGAGGTTTCTGCATGTGAGCTCTTCATGTCCGGCTCCTGCATATCAGCCGCTGTGTTCAGCAGGAGAAACTCGCCTTCCTCGAGTAGATGATGAGGAGATGTATTATTGTGTATTATTGTTCTCTTTAATAATGATCATATACTCATATTGAACATCAGCATGTGATGGAGACATGCTAATAGTGTCTGTCCTCTGCATTGAACATTAAAGCTGCTGTAAGAGAAACACACACACTCAGAATAATGCAGGACTTTAATATCTGAAGAGTTCATATAACAGATAAACTGCAGCCGTGATGAAGAGCAGAGGAGCACACACACACACACACACACACACGCGCGCACACACACACAGCCTGTGTTAGCTATGAATAATGATGATGATGATGATGATCAGACCTGCACATTCATATTCGCTAATAATTTAAGATCAGCAGTGAACATCATCAATGCTTCAGTATAAAAATACACCTGCTACATCACTGACAGCGTCTGCAGATCACACACACACACACGCACGCGCACACACACACACCTGAAAATAGTCTCTGCACAGCCGAACAGCACACAAGATCTGTAAAAATACCCAACATCTGAAGAGAGATAGAAAAGTGGAGCAGATTCAGCAAAGGCACAGGAGTGACACACACACACACACACACACACACACACACACACACACACACACACACACACACACACACACACACTCCAGCAGTGAACACACCTTCAGCTGTTAAATACAACACTGTGTCTACTACAGCAGAAAGTGTGTGTGTGTGTGTTAATAATATAACAGATGAAAATAATGATGATGATGAAGATGATGATGAAGATGATGGAGTGATCCGGCTGTCGATGCTGACGCAGAACTGAGATGGAACACATCGGCTGCTGCTGCTGCTGGAGATTCTCACACATTCTCTGCGGTGTGCAGCGGTGAACACACTGATGATGGAGAAGCAGCTGCATCTAAACAATGCGTGTGTGTGCGCGCGTGTGTGTGTGTGTGCATGTGTGTGCAGCAGCAGTGAGAGTGTCTCTCTGTCGACCAGGAGTTCATCTATATACACACTCACACACGAGCACAGGCGCAGACACACAGGCGTTATGTGCGCTGGTTGAAGGAGTCCAGCACGCTGCTGTTGGTGTTCTGGAAGACCCACTGCTGGCTGGAGGACGAGGCGTCGCAGGAGCTCATGAGGAGCCGCTTCTGTGCTGCGTCTGCTGATACACAACTGTTGCTGATCGGGTGGAAGAGACTGCGGTCCTGCAGAGACACAACAAGAGTGTGTGTGTGTTACTGTCACTCTGATCATGACACACAGTGAGTGTGTCTCTCTCTCTCTCTCTGTGTGTGTGTGTGTGTGTGTGTTTCTCTCTGTGTGTGTGTGTGTATGTGTGTGTACTGTATATGTATGTATGTATGTATGTGTGTGTGTGTGTGTGTGTACTGTATATGTATGT